AAACAAAAAGACCAGAACACCTCCTCGCCAGCAATCAACACCCAGATAAGCAGAGATTAACACCAAGATTAACACCAGACAAACAAGCAGTAAACAGTATCCTAATCAAGGAACTATCAGGGAAACCCCCCCACCACCACCAACACTGGCAGGGCAAGCCACTGTATATAAATAGAGAGCAAACCCCATCCCATTATAGCACTGAAGATGTTACCTAGCTGGGTAACAAAACGTTTGCAAGAAAAATCAAGCTCAGAGAACCCCAAGGACTCCACAGTACTAGTTATGAACAACAGCTTGTTTGCCTATCTGTAGATCAAGAACAAAATAACCTTGCAAATACAAATTCTGTGATACTGTCCTTAAATTTAGAGGGCCAAGTGAGAACCTTTATTATGATACAATTTCAGCATCAGTTTAGCACATTAATGATAAGAATTAGAGGTAACTTTCAAATGAAGGTAGACTAGGCTGAACCGCAGTCTACAGACTGGGTATGACCTCTGTCCGCTTGAACTGAAGACCAAAAATCCAGTTGATCCATTAGAAAATACTGTTTAGTACCAATAACTAAGCTGTCATGGTCCTTCTGGACATATACAACTTGTTTATCAACTCTAGCAAACTGAACTTTAAGTAACAAACTAAGCCGACTCTTTTACTACCCGACTCTAGAACCCCCAAATATGCCTGTTTTGTTGACACTGGACTTTTGTTTTTAAATATAGATTGAATCATCAAAGTGATATTAGAACTTTAATTAAATGAAGGTCTACCTTAAGTCATTTTGTTCAGTACCTTACACATAAATTATCAGGTACTTTACATGCATTGTTTTAGCAATCTCTTGACTTTCCATCACTTGGCATTATTCAAGAATATTACAGATTAATATTTCAGTCCATTGTAATAATCCTAAAACCATTCTTTACAAGCACTGGGATTTTTTTTATCAGTAACAAAAACTGTTGAACAAAAGGGGAAAAAAACGAAATTAAGTGCCTGAAAGCTCAGTCATTAAGAGTGCAAGAACAATTCCATCTTAGTATAAAAAGCAAAACATTCCACAGATAGGTTGTATGATTTGATGCATGGCTGTTCCCTCTCCTACAATAAAATGAAACATCAATGCACTATTGAATACCACATCAGAAAAACAAATGCTGGAATCCCTTTTCTCTATTAAAGATGTAAAAAACCTGAAGCCACCGTTTTTACCTGATCCTCATCAATGTCTGCATTTACCATAACATTTATTTCATCTTAGTTTCAACTTTTTATCTAGAGCTGTGCTGAGTTAATGTATAATGACTATTGGAATGGCTTCACCTGAACAAGCTTTTCAATGGCAGAAATGAACAGGTGAATGAGGCCTAGTTTTTAAAAAAATCACAGCCTGCCTCCAGGGTTATTTTCATTCAGTGGTGAATGATGTCCTAAGCAATGCTTGACTGTGTGGGGAAGGTTTTTGTGGTAACTGTTCAGAGGAATGTCCTCTGTCCCCCAACCCTGCTTTTAATGTCTCATTGCACTTGCGCTCTAAGGAGAGGTACAGAAGTCTTTTCAAAGTTCTATTCAATTGTATGGAGAAAAGAGAAAAGAGAAAACATGCATGTCTCCATACATACACATATAATCTCACATACTCTAGTAAAATAAACATATTTCAACAAATGGGTTACATAAATTAAATGCTCTGTAGTTAATCTAAGATGTAATGAAACGTTTGGTCTAAAATCACCATTTTTATATACAATAAATATAAACCAATAGGTCTTTGTGTATCTCCAGCTTTCTTAAAACTTAATAAAACTCCATCAGTCTTTTAACAAAGTTGAAAGTGGCTAGCATGCTTTTAACAAGTCAGTATTTTGTGTCCAGAGTTGTTTGCACAAGATGGACAGCCATATAAATCAAATCAATTAAAACCATCAATTTTAGAGGGCAACTAACCATTTTTCTACTTGTCTCTCATACCTTATCAACCAGCAAAGCCAACATTTTCACTAGAAATTGAGCTACAAAATAAAAAGCTGTACTTTCTTCCTTACAAGACTGATTAAAATAACACATTGAGTGTGTATCTTGGTTCTTTCAGGTGAACCAAAAAAAGGAGAAAAAAAACTTTAAAAATTGCTATATGTTAGTAAATAAAATTATGCTAACAATTTGCATAGTATATTTTAATATAGAGAAAATGAACTCTTTGTTCATTTTATAAGCCTATCATGCTCTAATTTTCTGCCATGTCAGTATGAATTTATTTTACTTCCATGGACTGTGTCAATAGGAAGAAGTCTTTGTGTACAGAAGAGGAGCTGACATTCCACGATCAAGTGAGGTTACAACTCAAAAGAGTCCTAAGATGTTTTACATATAAATAATTGCATAGTGCAAAGTTGCATATAAATGATCTAGTTTTTCACCCATGCAAAGGTTCAAAAGGAGATTTTGTACTTAAAGTTTAGTCTCCTTTCGTTGCTTGGAATATAACTTCCTAATTGCTTTCAGCACTATAATTTTATATATATATATACACACACACACACTCATTCATTCATTCCTGGTTGACTCTGAAATGTATAGCTTTTCATGTCATACATAATCCAATTACCGAACACCTATTTTTATCTTGCTTTAGCCCCACAAAATAAATAATTCCTCTAATGATGCTGTCGTGGTTATGTGGCTTGTCTCATTTTCAGATTTATATTCCTGGAGGAAGCTGCAAATCCCCTTCTCTTTATCACAGGGTACTTTTGAAGTTATTCATGCCTTGAAGTGAATCCCTTTAAGATTCACTTAAACTAATGAAATAGAATTAATGAGGTGGCTCTATTATTAACATCCTTTTGCCTATTATTTTCCTTTTTGGTTTTAGTTTGTTTTTATAATTATTAATGTTTTTAAGAATTACTATATTTATTGTTTTATTGGACTGTTGTATGTTGCCCAGTTACTTTTTTTGAGATGGGTGACCATATAAATTTGATCAATAAATAAAATACATAAAGATAGATAGTCTGCCAGTACCTTATATGGCTTACTCCATTTTCAGGCTAATCGCCTAATTCCCCCATCTCCTAATCCAGGTGTTCTTAAATTTCGTGTACTCCCCCCATGATTAAAAACATATATCTGAGCTCCTCCTCCATGCATAAAAATAATGCTTTCACTGGGGTAAAGGTTGGGAAGAAATTAAATTACTGCTTACTTTTAATAATTGTGTTAATCTATGAATCACAAGAGCTTTCCCAGTATGGTTCCACAGTTGCCCACTGTGGGTTCATGCAGGCAAAACGAGGAACAAAGCCCAGAGCCAATTTTTTCAGCTCGTTTGTCTGATCAGATGGAAACAAAGCTGTGACCCCATCCCGGTCCACAACCTGCATTAATCAGAGGCTATTTTTTTAATATCTGCCATCCTGTATTTGAAACGAACTCTATCACTTTGAGATTCAATGCCATTATTTTTCTCACCTTTTCCAATGGAAAAGCAAGTGAAAGTACTGATTTATAAGATTCGTTGGTTTGATGAGCTTTCTACTGGCGGACGCGTCCTGATCTACACAGTGCTTACTGCGGTCCCAACCCTAAAAGCCAAGAACGGCTCTTGACGTCTTTTTGTTTCAGATGCCAGACCAGAGCGACCGGCGCTCAGCCTGTGCCCGTAAGAGTCACTCCCGGTGGCCCACTTTCCTGGCTCCGACAAACGACTTCCGAGCATCCTTGCACCCCTGGCCCCTTGGCACCAAGAAACCCTCCTCAAGCCGGCGCGCGCTCTCCCCAGCTGCCGGCGGTTGGTTCCAACTCCGTTCACCATCCGGGGCTGCAACTCGAGAGTCGGCGAGAGCGCGAGCGCAGACGGACCCACGGCCCAGCGCTGGTTTTGCGGAGCTGATCCCTACAGGAGCCGTTCGTCACGTGCGAGAAGGGCGCACCGAGCGCTCGCCAGCGGGGATTCCCGAATCCTTCGCGCCCGCCACTGTCTTCCCACGATGCCAAGGGTCGTCTTCGCCCAAACACGGCTCCGCTATTGGGTACGGCCGGTGGCACAGGCGCGCCTCTCGTTTCCCTTCGAGAGCGCTTGTCCAATCGGCGGCCGCCAACTCACCCGTCCCGAAAACGCCTGGCCAACCAGGAAAAGCAGCGTGGAGGCTTGTTATAGAGTGGTCCAACGAAAGCCTCTAATCTAGAGCGAAGGAGGGAAAGGCAGCCAATGAGATTCCGAGTGGGCGGCAAGCGTGTCGTCAAGGTGCCGGCTGTGAAGGGGCTTAGTGTGAGCCGAGCGAGCGGCCGAGGCGGGCTCGGAGAAGTAGGATGCGGGCGGCTAACGGGTTCTGGGCGGCGCTGGCCTTGATCCTGCTCCCCGGAGACAGCAACGCTCTGCGAGAGGGAGACTGCGAAGGTGAGTCGGGTTCGGGGAGCAAGGGTCTGGTGAGGCGGCAGTAGCCGCCCGTGGAAGTCGTGGGGCTGCCGGGGCTCCGCTGGCTGGGGCAGGAAGGAAAGAGATGCGCTGAGCGAAGAGCCCCTCAGCCCACCCGGCTCCGCTCCGGGTCGGAGCGAGGGCTGGTTCCAGCCAGAGCCTTCCCGCCTCCCTCACGCTTGGTCTTTATCACCCGGAGCGGCATTGAGCCACCTCGCGGGGTTGTTGTGGGGCCTCGGCGCTGCCAAAGTATAAATCTGGAATTTTTAAAAGCCGTGATAGTCCTCCGGCGACGGACTGAGGCCCAGCGCTTGGAGTCCGCGTCCCGTTGGAAGGAAGCCGGCTTTGCGAAGTGGCCTCCTGAAGTTCCTTCGCAAAGTGGAAAAGGCCGCGGTTAGGGCTGCGGACCATCACAGTCCAATGATCCGAAAGGCCCCGGCTCGTGGGGGCCGCTACCAGGGCAGGACAGGACAGGACAGACTAGCCCGCTGGAAGAGAGGAGGATCGGGTTTCTGAAAAAAATGGGTTAACGGCGTTGAAATGAAACGTCACTTTCAGACGGTTCTTGGGAAGTATTTGTAGGAGCTGGAAAGCGTTTAGTTTCACACCTACTAGTAAAGAGAGATTTTGGGCTACCTATACACTCTCAGCCCAACCTAGCTCATATGGTTGCTGTTGTGGAGATCCCCGTCTAAGCTACCTTGAGTTCTTGAATAACTGGAATGAAATAAAGCAGATGTAGTAAAGTGGACTTCCTGCTCTTGACAGGACCATGTTTCCTGGTTCTAGGTTGTCCAGCCCTTCCTGTATGAACAGCAGCTTGGTTAGTCATTTTTATTTACACAAACTTTGTTCCAGGCTCAAGCTTGAATCAGAATTAATCACAGTATTTTCAGTAGTAAAATTAACCATTACAAGAATAACATTTTGTTAAGTGTGTGCTGAGTGTGTTATATCCACACTGATAAACCACAATCATTCTGAACACATCTGGGATTTCTAGCAGTGCTTTCTAGGAAAAAGTGTGTTGCTTTCCCTAACACCTTTTCCATTTTAGAAACTAGCACCTCTTAGTTACTGTCCCATTAAAGAGAGAAATAAGAGTTTACTCAGTATCTTTTAGGGGCTTTGCTATAGGCGAATAAAGTTATTGAGAACAATTAAAGGAATGTGCATTTCATTCTTATAACAACTCAATATCATGCTGAGAAACAAAATGTGGAATCAGCTATCACTTCTCTTTCAAAGAATACACATCTTTCTTGCTTTGTTTCTGTAAGTATACAAGTCTGGAAACGGAAGATGCTTGCCGAGATGGGAATACTTTATTTCTCTCTAACAGAAACTTATCTTTATCCAAATACAAATTAAAATGAGTATTTTGATTAGTAAAACAGAAATCCTGAGGCTTAAAAACAATGTCATAGACTTAATGTGGCTGCAATACACAACATATTTTTCTTATATTCATGTTCACTGGACTAGTATGCACCATGCTTCATTATTGAAAGAAACTTTATTCTGTATACCTCCTTCTAGGCAGTATGAGAGTGCTTCTCCATAACTCCTAGAGCTGCCTTGATGATGTGAGGCACCTGTGGTGAGGCTGTCATGAAAACTGAAGCAATTCTGAAATGATGTCTTCCTCTCTAACCTGTTCCATCTTGTATTATGTTAGTGGTGCAGAAATAAGCAGTGCTATACTAACTGCCAATATGATCAGATAAAGGGACCTTTGAATTTCAGTAAATCTCCTAATAGCCCAAAGTGCCGTTTTGTGTTCAGATAAAGCCCCAGCCTATTTTAAAAGCCTGCTACAAATGTCATTGCAATGATCACTCAACCCACATGTGTACTACTTACAGTGGTTTCATGGTAGAGTCTTAAGACATTAATCCAACCTGAAAGTCAAACAAATATTAGAAGGATTTTTCCTTTTTGAAAAATAAGGCTTACAGAGGAGTAAATGCAGTCACATACTAAGATACCTGATGTTATGGAGTGCTGTAGCAATTTCTACTTACTGCTTATAGCACTTGTTTTCAATTAATTCAACTATTTTATATTGCATTATCCCACTTCTTTTTGCTATACTAACATGTCACCTGAACGTATGTTTCCTGTTTCCCCAATAGCTTGTTTTCTGCATTAATGTTCTGTTTTTTCATGTAATGTTCTTTTTTCATTTTTGTTTAAACCCCTTGAATTCTTAAGAAAGATACAATTAGTTAAATGTCTGTTTTTTCCTTCACAGTATGTGTGTCATTCCTGGGAACTTTCTATCAGGCTCTACAAGAGAATAATGTTGAGTTCACACCGAACAGTATTGAAAAAGAACTTTTGAAATTCTGCAAAGAGGCAAAAGGCAAAGAAAACCGTTTTGTAAGCATTAATAATAAAATTTGGGTTTTCAGTCAATCAATTAAAATATGACTTTAAGCAATGTGAAACTAGTAGAAAGATCAAATTTCTTAAAAGACAAAATATATTTGAGCAAGTACGCTACTGAGAGCTAGAGAAAAATCTTATTTGAATTATCTGTAATGGAAACTTCATACAAGCAGCATTTTCTCTAAGATGTTTAATGTTTTTAATTTTCAAAATCCAGCTATAATGTTAAAAAGACAGTAACATTGGCACTGCCTGTAGGAAAGCAAGAATCAGGTCTCTAGGCCAAAAGCATTGCTCAGAAGATAGTTTCATATGCACTGAAGTAGCATTAATCCAGCCAGATTACACTGGTCCTGAACCCAGGCACTGCAGTAGAGATGGACCCATTGACAGCATATATAACAAGGTATCTCTTTCAGACTGAGTGGCTAGAAACGATCATCATGGGAGAGACAGTCTTTGTGGACTCTACTCCTAGATCATTTTAGATTTTATTAAGCACTTTGAATTAGGCTATGTAACAAATCAAGAAGTAGCGAAGTAATTCAACAGGAATTGGGTGATATAAAAAAATCAACCCTAAGAAATATTCTATAAAGGCAATGCCATGTAGTGGGTAGTGGTAACTTTACTTGATTTATGGAGCATGTATGATTGTAGTTTCTCTAGAAAATAAGTTGAGCTGGCATACCCACCTATTCTAGCACTGAAGATGTTACCTAGTCAGGTAACGAAACATCTGCAAGAAAACAACCAAGCTCAGAGAACACCAAAGACTCCATACCCACCTAAGCTATGCAGAACATTCCTGTGAAAAATTATTACTGGATTCTTTAAAGCAATGCTTTCCAATAGTACTCTTGGAGTTAGGTGATTTGGATTGACTTTATTTACTTTGAGAGAATTGGCTATATATGAGTAATCCTCAAGTCCCCTTTCCACTTAACATCACTTCTGAATTTTTGTCCTGTTTGAAAACAAGGGATTGATTAGATTCAAATGTTCTTTATTTACTTTAGACATCAAAGCAAAGAAGAAGTTAGGAAAGAAAGAATTCAGAATTCCCACATTGCACATAATCTTAAACTAGCCATAGGTGGGGCCATCTAGGTTTTTTTTTTCATCTAAACTTCAAAAAACATTACAATTAATACTACTATTAAAAAGTTAATAGTGATATATAAAAACTAAGTAACAATATATAACTATAATACTATTTTATAGTAAAACAAGGGCCATCCTCGTGTTAGTTGTTTTCAGTGAAAGGAAGAACCACACAGTGCTGGAGAGTTGTATCAGAAAACAAAGGCAGAATTACTTTAAGCGCTATTTACGCGCTTGACAAATTTGATAGGTGCTCAAGAGATACCTGATTCTTTTTTTAAAAAATAATGTCCTGATTTCTTTCTCACTGCTTCTCTTTTAGTGTTATTACATTGGAGCAACCAGTGATGCAGCCACCAAAATAATTAATGAGGTATCAAAACCTCTAAGTCATCATATCCCTGTTGAGAAGATTTGTGAGAAGCTGAAAAAGAAAGATAGTCAGATCTGTGAACTGAAATATGGTGAGTACGAATAAATGTTGGCTGTGAAATAAATGAGAACTTAAGAGGAGTGCTGGGTTGCACTAAAAACCCTCCAAATACAGCATTTTCTTCCAACAGTTCAAATTCATAGAATAATAGGAGGAGGATAATCATATTTGTAAATCACAGCAGATAGTCACGACTAGATGGATTTAGCTGATCTTGAAAAAAACTAAGTAGGGTTGGACCTGCTTAATATTTGGGAGACCACAAGAACTCTCAGGGCTGTAGGCTAAACTGTGAAGCTGGAAAATCATCCCCAAAGGTCGCGGTGCCAACCACTTCCATGTTGTCAACCAAACAAAATAGCCATGGCATCACCTGGAGCTGAACTCAATTCAAGAGAGACTGTACCTATATATTTGTCTACTGCTTCAAAATGCAGACAAACTCAAAGCAGTATTGTTATTAATTATACTAATGTGGTAAGAGTGTCTCAGAAATGTTCAAAACATGCAGTGATTTAGAGACAACACAGAACTGGTTTTATCCTTCATGAATTTGTCTCCTCTTCTCCTTAAGGTATTATATTTGGTGGTGGTGAATTCTCTGAATATCGCTTTTTCTGTCATCAGTGTTCCACTATTTTGCTTTATTGGATCACTTGAAGTAATTGTACTGTCAGAGAAGAATAAAGTTCTAGTTTAAGCATTGAAAATATTGCAGGATGTAGATAAGAGGAAAGCTATTGAGAATAAGTCTCACTGAGTAAAACATATTCCAAGTAAATACAGCAATTCTATGCGTATCAACTAAAAGATACATTTCTTCTTTCATTACCAAACAAATTGGTAATGTTTGGAAATAATAATTATTATTATTACCCTATTTAATATGTTGAGAACACGTAATTCAAATTTCATGCCTAATCAACTGTTGCCTGGATCAGCAAGTGTCATGTTGGATGCTATGGTTCCTGGGCATTCATCAAAAAATGTGTTATAGGGCTCAGCTCCCTCTGCTAGGCAACCAGGACGTGGAGCTGACAGGCTACTGGAAGGCAATCGAAAATGAAAAATTTGGTCAAAGGAAGAAAACTACTCAATCATGGAATGTTTCTACCAATCAGAACCATCGAAATGCAGATTTCAGAAGTGAACGTACCAGCTTTGGAAAGAAACCCAGACTTAGAGGTTAATGAGCAGAGGCTTATGGAACAAAGGCATGTAATTTTGAAACACAGATTCTTCACCAATGCTGAATTGGAAGTAACTGAAAAACAAGCAACTCAACGTTCAAGTTTATTCGGAATTACCAATAATAATACAAATTTGCAGAGTGAATAACAAACAGCGGATAGTGAGACTATTGATATTAATGAAGATCAATAGGGAGAAGAAACTGAAGTTGCTAAACAGCTGCAAACACCATTGGTTAATGAAGAATTAGTTGGGAAAATTAAGGATTGAATGAAAGAAATTGAAAGAATACGTTAGCCAAAATTGAATCAAATTAACAAGAAGACTTTGGCTAAAATAGCGAATGAAGCTGTCAAAATTATTCTAACTGAAACATTGACCCAAACATACCAGCTATGCTGCTGCCTATATAACTACTGAAGAATTGGGACTTAAAATATAAAGGAATGAAGTTATTAAGAAAGGGAAATCTAAGTGGAAAATTTGATTGGAATTGAAGATAAAGAAAACTTGCGTGGATTTGAGCAATTTGAAGAATTTGAGACAAGGAAATTTGAAGAATTAGAAAATCAAAAGTAGCCTGTGCGTGAAGTACAACTTGGAGAGTAAAGAAATTGCAGAGGTTGTAGAACAATTGAAATAAAGAGTCATGGCTACAGATCTTACAGAGAAGATCAAGCAATATGACAATTGAATAATCCAATTCCAGCAGAATTTGCAATTTAGAGCAAATCAGCATCAATTCTATAAAACACTTGAAAATGGGAAAGAATCGACCATAAAAAATGAAAAGCCTGACAAAGAAAAGACCCTAAAATTTTGGAAAAGTTTGTGGGAAAACAACAGGCATCACAATAGGAATATAAAATAGATCGAGCAATTTGAAAACACAGTGAAAGTACTTAGCATGGAAGATATTAGGATAACTGAGGAAGTGGTATGAAAGCCATCAGAGAAGGTCAAAAACTGGAATGATTCTGGACCAGATGAGCTCCATGGATTTTGGCTAAATTCACTGATAAGTCTATATTCAAGGCTAGCAGACCAGATGAATAGTTTTGGAAGTACCAGAAAATGAAGAGTGGTTAACAACTGGGAAGATATTCTTAATTCAGAAGGACAAGGAGAAGGGAAATGAGCCTGGAAACTACAGACCCATAACCTGTTTCCCAACAACATACAAGTTACTTACAGGCATAATTGCAAATCAAATCTATAACTATTGAAAAGGAATGATTTACTGCACTCTCTGTAGAACAAAAAGGGTGCTGCAAAAATTTGAGAGGAGTGAAGAATCAGTTATTGATTAACAAGTTGATTTCAAAGAATTTTTTTAAAAAAACAAATTTGTTTATGGCTTGGATAGACTATAAAAAGGCATTCAATTCTGTTCCACATAGTTGAATTGAGAAATGTCTTGAAAGTTTTGGAATCAGTAGAAACATTCAGTAATTTATGAATATTTCATTGAAGTTTTGGAGAACAAAGCTGATGGCTAACGGGGAAGAGTTAGGACAAGCTGAAATCAAATATGGAATTTTCCAAGGCGACTCATTATCACCTTTACTCTTTATATATCAATGCCCCCACTGACAACAATTTTGAACAAGACAAACTCTGGATATGAATTGGCTAAAAAAGTAAAAATTTCACATTTTCTTGTATGGATGATTTAAAATTATTTGGAAAAATGAAGACTGAACTAGATTTCTTACTAAAAAGCACAAAATAATTCAGCAAAGATATTGGAATGCAATTTAGCATCAATAAGTGTGCAACCATAGCCATGAAGGCAGGCAAAATTGTTGAAGGTGATGGAATACAGCTTGATAATGAAGATTTGATAAAGGCAGTAGCACCAGAAGAAGGCTACAGATATTTGGGAGTTTTGGAAGCTTCTGATTTACTACAGAACCAAGTCAAAGAAAGTACTTCTACCAAATATATCAAACGAGTTTGGAAAATTTTGAAATCAAAGCTGAATGGTGGGAACATCATCAAAGCAATTAATACCTGGGCAGTCCCTGTTATTGGTAATACAGCAGGAATAGTTGACTGGATCCAGATGGAACTTGATAATTTGGATAGGAAAACAAGAAAGCTAATGACAGTGCACCATGCTTTACACCCAAAAAGCAATATTGATCGGCTGTATTTGCTAAGAGCCAAAGGGGGCAGAGGACTCCTACAGGTGAAACAAACTGTGGAGAAAGAAAAGCATGACATCAAGATAAGCCAAGAACCTTTGCTGAAGGAAGTCAATCAAGAAAAGCTTTTGAAAACAATAGTGAAGGCTGAGTCTAGAGCAGAAACAATTGAAAACCAATTTGTAAATTGGAAGAACAAGCCAATGCATGGTCAATACTTGAAGGATATAGAAGGGAAAGCTGATAAACACTTCACATACAACTGTCTAAGATCAGGAGCGTTAAAGAAAGAAACTGAAGGTTTTATTTTAGTGGCTCAAGAACAAGCTTTGCCAACTAATTGCATGAAAGTGAAATTCAGCATGTAGCAAACAACAGCAAATGTCACCTTTGTAGTAAAAAGGATGAAACACTTGAACATTTGATCAGTGGCTGTAGCAAAATTTCACAAACTGACTATAAGTAGTTACCAAAATTATTCATTGAAAATTTTGCCAGAGGTTTGGATTTCAATGTAACAAAAACTACTGGGATCATCAAGGGGTTTTGGAAAATGAGTGGGTTTAGATCTTACGGGACTTTAAGATCCAAACAGACAGGGATCTTGTTTATAACATGCCTAATATAATAGTCCTTGAAAAGAAGAAAGTCTGGTTCATTGCTGTTGCTATACAGGGTGATGCTAGGACTGAGGAAAAGCAATTGGAAAAAATTACAGAATACTGGGACTTGTAGATTGAAGTTGAACGCTTATGGAAAAAGAAATCTGCTGTTATACCAATCATGATTGAAGCCCTCGGAGCAATATCTGAAGGACTCCCTCGATATCTGGAAAATTTGAATTTATCAGACCTGAACATCCTAATTTTACAAAAAAAACACCTTGACTGGAACTGCCTATATTCTTAGACACTACCTTAATAATTCTTAAGTCCTTGGTTAGGACTTGAATTATTAAGTTTTTACCAGTCTTAGCCTGTGAATCTAACTGTAGATTAATAGTAGTAGTAGTAGTAGTAGTAGTAGTAGTAATAATAATAATAATAATAATTATTATTATTATTATTATTTCAATTTGTATGGCCACCCATCTCATCTGAATGACTCTGGGCAGCTCACAACAGGTAAAAACAACAATCCATTAAAAGCAAGTTTAAAAAACAACATATAAACATATAAACCCATCAGTAATAATTTCAAAACAAAAATAATTGTGATCAGCAGCAGAATCCAGCCTTACCTCAGCTCAGCACAACCATTATAAAAGCTCCTCACCATTGCTGGACCCCCACACATGGCAGCAGAGTCTTGACTTCAGGGCCTTCCTAAAGGCCGGGAGGGTTGGGGCCAGTCTAAGCTCCAGGGAGATGATGTTCCACAGGGTGGGCTCTGTGGAACGGCAGAAAGTGCTCTCTTCCTGGGTCCAGGGAGGTGACACTCTTTTGTAGATGGGTCCTGAACATGCCTTTCCTACCAGTCCTAATGGGATGGGTAGTGTAACTGGGCAGAGCGGACCCTCAGTTAACCAAGTCCCATGCCATACAGGCCTTGATAGGTCATTACCAGCACCTTGAATTGTGCAGCTCATAGAGCAGAGGTGTAACATGCTGATCTAGGAGCGTGTATAACTGCCTGTGCTGCCACATTCTATACCAGCTGCAGCTTCATTGGAGGCCACGTATAGCAATGAGTAGAACATTCCAGGTCTGCACATATACATATTCATATGTAACATTTAAATGTCCTCTCCCTGGGCACCAAAATAACTATAGTTGATGAGAGTCATTCAGTTTAAATTGAAAAACCTACACAGGGATGACTCACTGGTTTGCCAGGCAGTCCAGAGCCCTATTTTAAGGCAGACAAGGAAGTTCAAGGACAATCATCCTTACCCATCTTCATCCATAACCCAATTGCAGCAGAAGCAAAGGAGATATTTATGGGCATAGTTTCTGTAGTAGGCTGTATAGAGGAGTTATGAGTAGTGCAGAATGATTCTTATATTACTGTTCTTCCATTTTTTTTTGATATTAGAAATCTACTGAAAACACCATGTCAGTTTTATTTTATTCCCAACTCTAGTATAGATTTGAGTTATAAAAGCTTGCATTCTTCATTAAAGTTGATTTGAAGTAGTCTTTTGTTTTTTAAAAAGAAGTCCATATATATTTAGCCACTACAAGCTGAGCATAGTGAACAGCGTGTGAAGTCTGGCCCTGGCAGATTAAGCAGAAGAGACTGATCAACGGTCCACCGGTCAAGAAGGCAGGCCTAGCAGACATTGTGGAGTGCTAAGAGTATAACAAGACATTTAGACGTCCTGGTCATCCACTCCAGCCATAATGGTGGGTGGGACACGTCATCAGAATGGATAACCACCATATGCCTTGCCAGTTGTTCTGTAGTGTAGTGGAGTCTAGGAAGAGACCTTGCGGTCAACCATGTAAGTGCTACAAAGACACTGTGAAAGAAACCCTACGCCAAGGGAAGCGAAGAAATCCCTCAGCCAAGGGAACTAGAAGCTGCGGCTGCTGAAGAACCCACTGGCAAGACCTGTGCTATGAAGCCTCCACCAGCTTTCAAGATAGGCGCTGCCAAAAACTGATAGAAAACCATAAGTGCCATCACTGAAAAACACCCAGTTACTACAACTGACTTCCAGTGCCCCCATTGTGCTAGACTCTGCACTTTCAAACCAGGACTGCAGAGCCACCTCCGTGTCCAAAGATGAACTGCACAGCAGCATGTCTTCTTTGAACCCAAAGGACTACCAACCACCTTTTTTTTCAATAAAAGATACAAAGAAAAAGGGAATATTGGACAAATTAGGGGAAAAAGAAATTCATTTCATCACTGTCCACCATTAATTGGAAACTATTCTTGTAAACTATGTAAGATCAACTGCTGAATAATTATGATTGGCATCAGGGTACAAATCAGAGATTAATCATCTAATGTTTGGACTATTAATTCATCATGTAGTAACATCTTCTTCTCTTTTCACAGATAAACAGATTGACCTGAGCACTGTGGACCTGAAGAAGTTGAGAGTCAAAGAACTGAAAAAAATTCTAGATGACTGGGGTGAAACATGCAAGGGCTGTGCAGAAAAATCAGATTACATTCGTAAAATCAATGAACTGATGCCTAAATATGCACCAAAAGCAGCCAGTTCGCGGACAGATCTCTGACCACCATAGTGACCTCTATCAATTAGCGAGATACACACAAACTATGTTAATCTTTCTATTTTCTTTCCTGGAAAGCTGTTTTTTGTAACTTATTTAACTGGGTTTCAAGTGTCAAATTGGAGGGATTCTTGCAATGCTGGTTCAGCTGCCTTGTCATGTCTCAAGTTTTTATTTCTATTATCTCTGATTTATTATAAGACTTTGACATGCATATGGGATTTTTGAATAAAAGTTATGAAACCTAGTGTCAGTTGAACTAAGAATTGGCATTAGTTTAATGTCAAGACTGAATGTTGCACTTTTCCAGCACTACCTGAGTAACAGACATAATGGTTTGAAGATGATCTATGAGAAAGTATAGCTTGAGTTTGCTGTTATGACTGTCTTTCTACACTCCATCCTTTTAAATGCTGAACACTATTATTACATATCCAGATGAAATATTTTAAGTGCTAGTCTTGCACATCTTTGACAGGAGTTAATCTCTTTGAGTAAGACAGACATTCATTCTGTCTGTTTCCACTGCCAATGCAGATGACAATCCTTTCTTATTCAACTACAAATATGCACTGGCAGAAGGGGAAGATAACTTACATTCACTTTTTTTTAAAAAAGAATGAGTACTAGTTTCATATGATGCCCATACTATAAACTTAAAGCAACCTGTGTTGTGCTGGCTGTCAGTGGTGTTCTGGGTGTAGGCATTGCAGATGGCATCAACTTGAGCTTTCTCTGCTCAGGATGGAATTAAAACTGCATGTGACTCCCTTTTGAGAAAAATATGGCTGTAAACTAGAAATTTTTTTATTTTTGACCAATGTAAACGTGAAGGCATTGAGGTGTTAATGAATTACAAAAAAGAGACAATTGTTCAGAATTGTTAGTTTTGTTCAGGGAAGTCCCTCAGGGCTTTAAATATATACGTGAACTGTATTCTGATTCCCTTGTTTGATGTATGCTCATTTGAATAGATTTGGCAGGGAGCAGCCATTGGACAGGAAGTTTTGCAGAATGTTATGTTACCAGAAATTACAATCATATGGGGAAAAAATGGAGGAAGGAACCCCTACAGGGAAAAACAAAGTGTGCCCTTAATTAATAAATATACTTTGAAATAATAAATATTGTAAAATAGGTGTGGTTGTGAGCCTGAGGACTTTCTTGGTTTTAAATAGTTTTGGAAGTAAATTTATGAAATGGGATGTAATCTGATTCCCACATGTAACTGAGTTTGAAAACAACATACACAGAATTGTTACAAACCCTATTAGAAGAAATTAAAGATATGTGTGTTACATACATGCACATTTAATTTCTAAAGTTATAAATGCATAGCAGAAAGGCTAAACTAAATGGATGGTGTGAGATTTCCTTACCTGGATTGTCCTAATATCTTAGTAAAGCTTGTTTAACTGATGTAAAATGGAAAGAAAAGCACTCTTGATAAAGTTCATTCTTGACTTCATTAAACAGGATAGCAACAGAAGCGAGTATGTGTAGCTCAGGGTTGAACTGTGGAGTCAACAGGATAGCAACAGAAGCGAGTATGTGTAGCTCAGGGTTGAACTGTGGAGTCAACAGGATAGCAACAGAAGCGAGTATGTGTAGCTCAGGGTTGAACTGTGGAGTCCTTGGGGTTCTCTGAGCTTGGTTTTCTTACAAACGTTTCATTACCCGGTTAGGTAACATCTTCAGTGCTAGAATGGGATGGGGTTTGCTTTCTGCTTATATATTGTGGCATGCCCTGCCAGTGTTGGTGGGGGTTTTGTTTTGTTCTATTTCCCCCCTCCCCCCGGTAGTTCCTTGATTAAGGTATTGTTTACTGCTTGTATGTCATGAATCTTGTATGTCATGTATGTATGAATTACAGGATAGTAATTCCCTTTTAATAGGCTTTAAACTGCAGCTGCAAACTCTATTCAAGTAATTCAGCAGCGCGTCTTCGCATGGTATCAATTGTTTAGGAAAGACGGGAACTGAAATCCTGTTGAATCAGTTTAATAACTGACCTCGTTACCCTTTTGCTTTTAAAATCCTTAACACTTTCTTTTACTGTATAACCGCTTGCCTATTCTGCCGAATCGAGTTGCGTACTTGGATCTGAAGACGTGTGCGCCTCTTATTACGCTAGCGAGTCTAATTCAGAGGGCCCTCCAAGGGGCCCCGCTCCTGTGGCTTTAACTGCAGCTTGACGCTAAACAGGAGCTGCCAGGCTTGGCGGAATCATAAGCCAGGGGCCTGCAGCGCCGGGTGCGCGCGGAGTCTTGACACGATGCTCCCAGTGCTCACGCTCCTCGCTCGCTCTATGGCGCCTCCCTCAGTCCCTGGTCCTCGGCCCGGCGAGCCTCCAGGTGGGCCGCTGGTGGCACCCGGAGGCGGGAAGCAAGACGCGGCGCCCGCGGCCCTCCTGTCGCAGAAAGCAAGGACGCCGCTCGCAGGGCGGGGAAGAGCCGGCCGGGAGGGGCCGAGCCGCCCCGCCCCCCCCCGCCG